TTGCCGTACTGACATAAATGAACATTTGCACGATATTCTAATTTTTTGAGTTTCACCTGTAGGTATTCACTGGTGATATGCTACTGAAACTGTTTTAGTCACCTTGGAATTGGCATGTGGCAAGGTCTTATCGTGATAGAATGAGATGTGAGATGCAGCAGAATGGAGTGACTTGGGATTTTTCAGTATGAGATGGTTGAAGGAGGGAGGAGTAAATTGAAGTTGGATGGCAAAGTCAAGAGACAGATGAACTGGGAGAAGAAGCATGGAAAAAGAAAGTTTTTATTCTTTTTAACTAGGACATTAGCTGCCCAGGGTTGCATGCAATTTGGATGGCCATATGAAATGAATGAATGAATGAATGAATGAATGAATGAAATACATTTAGGAACTGAAAAATGAGAAATGGAAAGAATTGAAGACAGGTGAATGAATGTGGAAGAACCACCAAGTGAATGTGGAGAATGGAAGCCAGAAGGGAGTGGGTGAAGGAAGAAAGGAAGAAAGAATATGAAGACAGTGGTAAAATCTGGACTTTGTACGGCCAATATAGTGTTGTGAGTCTATAGTTGCTGGGAGAGCCAGAGGTCCCTGTAGAAGAGTGGAAACAGAGTTGGCATTTACAGGCAGGAAGTGTGACAACAGACAGACCAGGAAGTTGTTATCAGTTTTGTTGCTTGTGAGTGTGGGCACACTATTTTAAGGACTGCCACCTAAGAACAGAAACAGAAGAGGAAGAATAGGTCAGCAGTCATTAGGTGCTGGGAGAGGGCGATCAGTGTGGGGCCACAGAAACCACTGTTTACTACCACTTTGTGTGCTACTGCTGCTGGGGTGGCTACACACTGGAATGTGTGAGCCTGTCACTCAGGAATCCCAGAAGGTGTTACAAAGGACAAAAGAGGAAGATACCAATACATAAAGTGACATGAGAAGCTTCTGAAACCAAAACATCACTATGGGACCTACTGACACTACTTTCCTCAAATGCATGGATCCCCCAAATGGGTTTTGGGGCAGTTTTGAACATTCTCACAAAGTTATATGCCAAAAATAAAAAGCTTGTAATTTCAGTGCACATTGGTAACCCAAAGAGAAGCCACTCTAACCTGCTATGCAGTAACACATTACAGAAGCTAGTAGTCCTCAAAGGCAAAAAGAGGACTAAGCTCTGGAGATTGGGAGAGACTATAAGAAAAAGATGTATCAGCAGCAGTGCAGTGATAGAAAGGCAATCAGGACTCAGATTACAGCTAATCAAGAGAATCTCCAACTTCTGTCAAGGCTAGCCACCAATATACTGTGGTACATACACCGCAACTTGGCAAACCATAAGTTAAGAGAGACCTCTAAGACATGACAAACTATAGTGCACAAACCACTTCCAACAGCAGTGGGAATGCATTCACTGGAAAAAAAATCTTGCTTTCCAAAATTAAGTTGCTTTACCTTTTGAAGAGGAAATGCTATGTTGAGAGGTGAGTGATGATTTTCAAACCACATGGAAACAGGCAGTAGCAACTAAAAACTCATCCTTGGGCTTCTCTCCAGGTCTTCTACTCAGCATGGGATATGATCAGGCCAAAGCACTAATTAAACAGTGTGTAGCAGACACAGAGTGCCAACTGGATCTAGCCAGGGCCCCAACCTTTATTGCCAGTGAATCCAACAGGTACTCTGCCTCCCGTATGGCATACTTAACTGAACGTGAAATACCTAAACACCGGAGGGCCTTTACTCTGGCATAATGTCATGTCCTCCCCTCAGCTGTCTTTGAAGGCCAATACAGGAAGATTCCTTACCTGGAGAGACAATGCCCCTGTGACTCCGGACATACAGAAACAGCAGAGCATGTGCTTCTCCAGTGCTTATATTACAGAGACATTCATACTAGCCTCATTTACTATTACTGCATAAATACCCAGGGCACATTGGACAATTCTACAACTCTTTCAGACACCAACCCTGCCACAACATACAGCAGCACTTAAAACTGGTCAGATGATGACCTGTGCCATAAACTAGACTTAATGAGCATCTAGTTCGCCATACTAGAGTGCTCTGTAATTTGATATAGACTTC